AATGCAAGTTTCCAGATTTGACAACACTAATTAGTTCTGAGCTAGAGATAACTGCTGCTGCTGTGGAGCTCCCAGCTTCAAGTTGTGAAGACCTGCTGAAAAAAAAGATAATGGTGGGAAACCCTTGCCTTTTTTTTTGGTAGGTTTTTGTGTTTAAAAAAAAAAAAAAAAAAAAAAAGTGCTTTGACTGCATTAAGAGGCTTAAAAAATTTGATTCCCCAGGGGAGGCGTGATTGCATTCAGAACACTTATAATTAGTGAAAACTGTCTGATAGTTGGAAAATTATAGAAAGGGAATGGGTGGTATTGGGAGAAGACACAGATCCTGAGCTTGTACAACTTCGTTAATTTTTTTTTTCTTTTTCCTCCTACAGTATCCAGTAGAAGAAAAGAAATCAAAGCAAAGTGCAGCCTGACCTGTGAGTATCTGACAGAGGAAGACTACACTGATCTGCTCTGGACAACGCTGTCAGAGTTCCCTGGTAGGTGGCAATAAGAAGCACCAGTTCTGCCCAGTGTGGCTGGAACGGGCTCTGGTCCAAGCGATGAAATGGGCTGGGACTACTTGATGGATGCAGTGCACCCAGCAGCTGCAGCTCTCCGCGCTGCCCGTTTGATCCCCACCGATAAAACCAGCAGTAATTGCTTTGTGGAGCTCTCATGGTCCATCCGACCATGGACTCTATCCAAGCAGCCTGTTAGGCACTCAGAGGAAGAGTAACAATTAAATCAGAGAGGCAGAATCCCTTGGACTTTTATCCATAAATGACTTTCCAGAACTATTTTAAAAGGATTGTGGGTAGTGAATCAATGGAGAACTTGCTTCCTCAAGCTCTGTGTGCAGCCTCAGGCACGATTTTCGGTCAATTTTAGTGAATTTCAATGAACAGTTTGACACAGGACAAGCAAGATGGGTGGCATGGAACAGCCGTTGTTTCTTCAGATGATGGTCCCTCGGTGTTAATCTGTTTGAAATAAGGCTGTGAGGCAGTGGTCAAGTTATTTTCATGCTCTTATAGTTTCAGGGACAAATGCTCAAAGAGCATTGACGGGTGAAAAGCTGTGTGTTTATGACGGGTAGATATGCCCAGTGCCGGCCTGATGGGAGGACTGTCCTACACTGTCACCGTGGGGAGGGTGTCAGTGCACAGGGGACTCTTGGAGTGATGCTGTAGCTGAACAGACTGATTTGATCCTGAGATATACTATGTTAGGAGTGAGAAATACCAACAGAGATCCCTCTGAATATGACACTGGTGACTCTGATGCTTGAATAATCCCCACACTCGCTCTGCATCCAGTTTTAAAAGGATCTTGAGAAGCTGCATGGGAGAGAATATTTAACATTGTGAAACTCAGAGAGCTTGACCTATTTCCTTTGTCGAAGAGCAGGTGAGAAATAATTTGATGGCAGCATATAAATAACACAATGGAGAGAAAATACGGAGTTTTAAAGAGCCCTTAAGTCTAGCAGTAGGACAATTAGCAGGGAACAGTGGGCAGAAGTTGAACACAAGATACTCCAACGAGACATAAGGCAGGCACTTTCATGTTGGTAACCACTGCAAGGATCAGCGGTTAACAGATGTTAACTGCTCACTCCTACACCAGTGTGAGTGCTCTACACCCCTGCCTGAAGCCTCTGCCAGCAAAATATTTTACAGAGAACAGAATTTCCAATCTGAATAACCCAGCCCCTGTTAAAGGCCAGCTGCTGCAGCCTCTGCCTTTGCTCCGTTCCCAACAGTCGGCTTCTCTCCTTCTGCAGGGGTCTTAGTGACACTGTGGATTATCGACCGGATAGGTCGCAAGAAAACCATGGCTCTGTCCTTTTTTGTCTTCTCGTTTTGCAGTCTTCTGCTGTTTCTCTGCGTCGGAAGGTAAGTAAAACACGGTGAACAGCTGGTGTATCTGATTCCTCCATGTTCTCTCTTGATTACGGCAGGAGAAGTGGAAGCGGTGGTTTGAAAAGCCGTGAGATGGTTGTGCTCACCTGGAGAAAGAATTAAGGATGGCGTTAGGTTTTCTCACTAGAGTTTGGAAGGAAATGAAAAGAACCAGGAGAGGAGAAATCCTTCACTCTAAACTTGTGGACAGAGCAATCCAAAGGGGAATTTAAACCTTTCCAGGCACTGTACAAACCTTATAGTACAGAAACCTTGCCATATATCCAGTTGCAAATATCCGGGCGGTACGTTAGGTTCATGTCTTTTAACCAGGAACGCTGCACTTTCCTTTCCTTCTCGTGTGTGTCATTTATTTTGTTAGCACCATTTATAACGTGGAATATATTTTTCTGATTTGGATAAGCTTGGGCGTTCTCTGCTCATTGCGAGAGGCCACAGCTGTCAGTTAGAAGGAATAACTTAGAAAACTGGTGTGATGGTGGGAACGCAGATTGTTTGGCATCATTGTTATATTAAAGGTCCCGAAAAAATACAGAGGGTTCATTAAAAAACAAAAAGAAACCATTCTAACAAATTTCGCGTTTTTATTGGGCTTGCCTCCAAGTTAAACAAACAGACTGTACAGAACAAACCCAAACACTGCTCTCCTTTTTATTCTCACAGAAATGTTCTTACTGTGCTGCTCTTCATTGCAAGAGCTTTTATTTCAGGAGGATTTCAGGCTGCTTATGTTTACACTCCTGAGGTAAGGAGGTTGTTTTTGTAACGAGAATATTTAAGGGGTGAGAACATGGTGGGAAAGTCATCTTTTGACCTCTTCACATGGACCTTACCCCACATATGAGCTGATTGTTGTCCAACAGATCGTGCTGTAGTACCACTTATTCATTTCCCTTGATTTAGGAGGCTGGAAGGAAGAGACCTTCCCGCTGGGGTTAATGTGCTGCTGGCTTTGTTCGCAGGTTTATCCAACAGCCACGCGTGCTTTGGGGCTGGGCACCTGCAGTGGGATGGCCAGAGTGGGAGCCCTCATCACCCCCTTCGTCGCGCAGGTAAAACCCCTTCCCCTGAGGCTGGGGGCACGGGAGGGTGGTGGAGAACCGGCTTTTCTGCCGTAAGGACCCAGCCAAGGGCGCTCTGTGCAGGATGAGTTGCAGGAGGGTTGTTGCCTGTTTCTTGGGGAGCGCTCAGCTCCGTCTCTGGATTTACCTCTCGCTCCAGAAATCCATAGGATGGGGGAACCACGAGGCAGGCAGGTGGGTGGGTGTAAGGGCACCTTGGCAGCCAGCACCGGGAGATGGGGTTGCGAGAGGCAGGAGTTTCTGCGCGTGCTGCAATCCACCTTTCCCTTGGGATCCCAGGCTGGGGTCCTGGGGGCTACAACCCCCTGGACAGGGGGGCTGGGGAGCCGGGCTCTGCAGGGACAGGGCTCAAGGCTGCGTCAGGAGCAGCGGCTCTGCAGAGGGTTGGGTAGAAAACTTGTGAATTGCTCAGTCCTGTCGAACTCCTAAGGGCAGCAGCACCTCGTGGCCCTTGTCATCCAGCTGCTTTGTTGCTGTTTAGCAGCTGTGTCAACCCTGAGGAAGGAAAGCATGCAGCAGTGCACATTAAACATTTTTTCCAATCCTGTAACTAAGATTTCTACTACATCGGTATTTCTATTTCTTTCTGCGATGAGGGACACGGTTTTGTGTTTCCTGCAGGTGATGTTGGAATCTTCAGTCTACCTGACGCTGGTGGTTTACAGCGGGTGCTGCCTGCTGGCCGCCGTGGCTTCCTGCTTCTTGCCCATTGAAACAAAAGGTCGCGGCTTACAGGAGTCCAGCCACAAGGAGTGGGGACAGGAGATGGTGGGGAGAGGATCTCAGTCCCCAGGGGTCACCAGGTCAAACTCCGGATCACAGGAATGATGGGACATGAAAACCTGCTGCAAGAATGAACGATACGAGCGAGATCTCTTCCACAAAAAAACCCAACCACGAAGCGTCGAAAGCTGACCATACTGCCACTGCCAACGCCACGTGTCAAACCGCAGGAACTTTCGGGTTGAACCGAAGCAAATTGTGTCTCTGCTGCTCTTTGCTCACACTCATAAAAACTTTTCGTCTGTATGAAGAGGCATTTGATCCAGATATCATCTGAACTTTAGCAGGAAGGGTTTTTCTTAAGTCTGTTGTGCTTGCATGGTCAGCTCTTCAGCTTCAAACGTCCCGTGTCAAGCAAATAGCTAACTGAATGCAACTCGGTATCCGCTGTAATTAAAATAATGCACTCTCGATGCCTACAAACAAAAGATTCATATTTATCGTGTACCTGGCATAGCACACGGTGGATTCCCTAAAGAGTAAGTTTTATGAATTAGATGCCTGCCTTGCACTTTTTAGCCATCAACAACCTGTGATAACAGCAAATCAATCGATGCTTTCTCCTTCCCTTGCTTATGGGTTCAGTTCCTGGAGAATGAACAGGCGCTGGTTGCTTGGGTTGAATGTTTCTCGCACCCAGGGCAGGTTGTTTGAGGCAGTGAGGAATTGCATTTGTTGCAGAGATGGAACCTTCTATAAGAAATGTAAATCCTCGTGGTTTGGAGCAGAATTTGGCTTTTCTAACATTGCCAGAATCATTGAGCACCCTGCCTGTCGCTTGGTGAAGACTCCTTCAGCTGTGCCGGTGTCTCGGTGTGCGTGGAGATGCACGCTGTGGTTTTCTGCATGGGTCTGGGTGTGTTTCTGCTCAGTTTGCCCAAGTCTGTTCTCGCGGTGGTGTAACCAAAACCTGTGATAGCAATGCCTCGGTCCGAGGAGCCGCCTGCAGCAGTGGGGATGGAGCTGCTTGCCCGTGTCCCCAACAGCAGCCGGCCTCCTGGCAGCTGGGCAGAACTTTTCGATAGCTGCTAATCGTACACGGACTGTAGCGTCAAGCTTGGTGACAAAGGAATGTAGCTGGCATCGTGTGGGAAATGAACAAGAAGAGCCCAACTGCAGTCGTCCTTACGAGGAACTTCACTCCTTCCGACGTGGCTCCTCAAGGCTGAGGATCCTGCTCTCGTCAGGGAACGGAAGGGTTCAGGCGAGGAGAAGTTTGTCTCGTTTGTCAGAAATCTGCCACTACGCAGGCAGGCAGGTTCAGACTCTGGATGCGCAGCGAGGAAATGCGTAAGGAAGCCGTTTCCAGGATTCCAGCCTAGGGAACACAACCGAACGTGAGATGGACCAAACGCTCATCACGAGGCGGGGGGAAGCAATACGTTTTTATAGGGTGTGCTCCATTGTCTCACGTAGGTAAGTGTGCAACACATTTTTGCACAGTAGAATATTTAAAGTACTCTGGGAAGCAGGTCCGCGAGCCCACGTCTGGGTGCAGTACAAGGCACACAGCTGGGTCCAGCTCTCCCCGAGCTCCAACAGCGCTGCGATGCAGCATAACGCTCCCGACACGTCAGGCTGCGTGCAGCACTGAAGGAAATCAGAAGCGGATAATTCCTTAAAGAAACGAGGAAACTCAGACTAATAAAACAAGGCCAAAGAGTTACTGATATTCTGTGTGTCGGCATCTTCTGCGGAGAAAAGTTAAAGTTTGGCAAGGCACCAGAGTGTCTCTCCGTTCATTTACCACTCTGACCGTTGGGCTGAACAGGCGGATTTTCCTTTCCACGGTCATGTGAAAATGCAGCTCAGCTCCTGGGGATCCCACGTTGGCTGCGGCTGGTGACAGTGACGGTTGGGTTCCCTCTGTCCCTGCCGTCTCTGTCCCATGGGCTCAGGCTCCAGCAAGCTCCAGTTCCAGCCCATTAACAAGCAAGGGTCTCGCGGTGCTGACAGCCAGGGAAGGGATTTGTTTTCATCTCCTTGTGCGAGGATGGAGTTGGAGAATTCTCCCTAAAGCACCACGCAGCTGGGAGAGCTCCGTGCTGCCTCCAAGTAGAGAAAAATGGTTTTTTTTCCCTCGGGCTGTCCCTCCGATGGGCGGCAGGACGCTGAAGGAATGCCACCTCACCGCCTGGCTGCTGGGCTCGTCTGTCACCAGGCGCCTTGAGTTAAAGTTCTGCTTTTCCAATGTTAATGGTCACATATCACTTCATTTTTATTTTTTTTTAACAGTTTCAAAGGACTGCATTGTGATGGCCTTCAAAGCGTGTGTTTGGAGTGCTTTAGGTGAAGTAACTTATAAATTTGGCCATAAATTTCCCAGGTAACGATTTATGGGTAATGAGAAACTCCTCATGCTCTTGGGTGGTTCGGTTTTAACCTGTGACAATTACAGGATTAAAAAAAAAAAAAAAAAGAAGGGGTTTTTGCTTTTCACTTTTTACGCATTCTGCATTGAAAATGTCCTGCTGGGACATCTTCCTACTCTGGGTCTTTGACTTAGAGACGGCGATGCCCAAAGCGTGATCCAGAGCCCCCTGACATCTGGGGGCATCTCCCGTGGGTGTTCGTGGGCTTTGGACCAGCTGAGGATGGCCAGGAGCCCGCCCCAGCGACCCCACCTCCCTGGAACCCGCAGGAGCTCTCGGGCACTGCAGAACCAGCACTGCAGTTTGGGTTTTGTGGGTCTTTGCATGTTATGAATGACAGCGGGACACTTTCGATTGTTCACCGACCAGCTGGAGAGCATCGGGGTTGGTTCACAACAGCCCATAAATCCTCACCGTCATCTGTGTTAACATGGCAGCACCTTGGTGTACATAAGAATCTTCCAAAGATTGTTTCACACACTGTCGAGTATTTTTCACTGATGAAGGAATGAATATAGCTGGTTCATGTGGAACAAGAAAGCGAGATAATTTTGCATTCAAATCGAGAGCAAACGGAGATGCGGGGTTTGGAGATTTGCTAACTGTCCAACATATTCGTGTGCAAAGCTGTTGTGGGAAAAATAATTCTCCAAGTGTGCTTTGATGGAATGATTTACTATTCCTAAATGCTTGCCGAAAGAACTTTGAATGTTTTCCTGTGTTTGAATGTACAGTTTCTAAGCTGGATACATTTTAATGTTTAAAGACTTTGTGTATATGGAGCTTGTTGTAAAATACTCCCTTTGTTCCTGATGCAGCACTGGATGGGTTAATTCCACACTCGATATTTTATGTTAAACAAATAAATAGTTTTTTCAGTAAAAATGCTTTTGGCTGTTCTATGGGGCTTTTACAAAGGGTCGGTAACTTTATCTTTTTTTTAAATTTTGACGTTCAGAGATCCGTGATGCTCTGCGGACTGGGCTGGATACAGTGCTCAGCACTGGGCAGATCTGACGTATTTTGTGTGTGTTTATCGTGCATTTGGACACAGAGTCGAAGGATTCCTGTTCACATTATAAGTAACCTCATAGATAAATATTTTAAGCATTGTCTTAAGATCTTTAGTTGCTTTTGGCATTTAATTCCGTTTGGATGATAAAAACCAGCCAGTTTTGGTTCCTGCCTCTGGGTAGTTTCTAGCAACGCCTTCGATGCTGTGACGGCAGAGCCCAAAGGTGTGTTGGGAGGAGGCAGCTTCGGGGCAGGGACCTTCCTTCTGGTTATTCACTTTTTAGTGTAAACTTTTCCCTATCTTGTGTTTATAAACCGTAACTCAGTGCAGAACCCTGACTGTGTTCCCCTCCTCTTTAAGCGATACCCTGATGGCCAGGAATTTACAAACATCGGGTCGTTGGTGCCTGAATCCCAACGCCCGGCGATCGGCAGAGGCTTTGCGTGCTCCTGCCGCGCGTTCTCCTCTCCGCATCCACTCCTCCTCCTGCTCACAGCTCATGCAGCCGGCCACAGCCCGCTGGGATGAGGAGTTTTATTTCTGGGAATGGAAACAGCTGGAAACTGCGGCAGGGTTCGTACCGTGGAAGCGATGCTTAGGGAGAGCGTTCATTCTTCTGTCCTTTCTGTGAAGTTTTTGGCACCCGCAGCCGTTCCTGACGCTCAGTTTTCCAGAACGCCAGAGCTGCTGTTTGCTCACAGAGGATAACTTCACCGACACTTGACGTGTTTCCAGCTTTGTTCTGTGTCACAGGCGGTCGTTGTTGGGAACCCTGAGTTCAGAAAATGTGCTGATGCCGCCGCTGGAGATGGGTTTGTGCTTGTGCCGAGAGCCCGGGCAGCAGCTCTCCAGCCATCCCACCTCACCCTTGCCACGAGCGTGAACTCCAGTCTCGGGACTCTTCATCCCCCAGCGCTCCATCTGTGGCTGCCACGGGGTAAGGTGCCCTTCCTGCCACTTCAGCCCAGAGCGACCAGCGGAGCGGCGTCAGAGCATCCGAAACCCAGTCCTTCATGGGCTGGGGGCTGTTAGCAAGAAGATGCAGGCAACCGTGGAGTTTCATGCGGTGGTATTTCAGGTTCGTTTGTTACTCAGGATCTGCAATGACGGCGCTTCCTCCTGCGGGATGAAGAGTCCAGGAAAAATGTGTGGGGAGACAGGGAATGGTGCGCCACTGGGATGTTTCTGTGGAATTAGAAGCCCTGCCCGTGCCATCACTGAGAAAGCATCACGCACGAGATATTAGAATACGACCTTTATTGTGCACAGAATCTAAATGGTGGCCTTTTGGAAAATAAGCAAAATCAGACTGCAAATAAAATGACCCATCTAATCATTTCGGTTTGGTTTCCAAGGCTGTCTCAGATCCCAGGACAACTCCTAGAAGCTCAGAGATCAGAAGAATCAACTTTGTACTGCAAGCTCTGCCATGATTTGCTCCGGCCCTGCTCATCCAGCGCAGCTCTTCTGGGATGGGATAACGGGGTTTGGGTTTACAGCGTGCAAACGGAGGAGAACACGGTCCTTAGTGTCTCATATTCGGAACAAGTGCAATCGAGCGGGTGCTGTTGCACCGAATGGCTTCTGCTCCAGCACTATCACAGACCGTTAGGTTCAGTGTTAATCAACGGTGAATTTTCTCCAGCTATTGTTTTCTTTTTTCCGCAGCGTGTCACAGGACAGGTCCTTCACCAGGGACCTGCACTGGTGCTGGCTGTGCCCAGGAAACGGGCACTTCCCACGGGGCTGGTTTAAATCCAGGTGCCCAGGAGGTGCAACGAGCCCACAGCATCTCTCCTGCACCAGCTGCAGCCCCCTGGCACACCACACACCCGGCTGATCGGCTATTTCTGCCATGACAAGGCAGAGGGAGGGAGAAGCTGCATCATGGATGAAAGAGTTTCATTTTTATCCACGGGGGAGAGCAACCGGGCACCGTGCTGGGCTCGGGACGGCCGCTGGCCTTTGGATTTGGGGCTTCTTGGCCATTCAGTGCCTTGTCTGGGATGGTTTTTAGAGCAGGAAAGACACACAGCATGGAAAAATCAGCCACACTCTATCTTCAGAACAGTGCACTGGGTCCTCAGCAGCATCACTGAGCACCCCCGGAAAGCCAGACCCTCCTGGGAGCCATTCCCAGCTCCGTCGGGAGGCACAGCCGGTCCCGAGGCGGCTCCCCGCTGCTGCTGCAGCTGCGTCTCACGGCCGGGGGAAAGGAGGAACCAGAGGGCCCGTGGGAGTTTTAGGGAGAGAACGCTATTCTGCGTCTGCTCTCAGCTATATATAGAGCCTGGCAAGTGCACGGGGCTGGAACATGTTGCTTTTGTTGCTAAAACCATCCTCTGGGAAGCCCATTTTAGGCAACGGCTGCTGTCTGTTGCCAGATACACTAACCAGGTGCTGCAGACCCGTGCTTCGCCCTGGCACGAGCGCCAGAAAAGCCGTTGTCACCGAAGCACGTGCTTTTAGAGCTGTGGTGGCTTCCCGGGAGCTTCAGAGCTTCTTCCTACTAAGGAGCTTTGGTCTCCTGGGGGCAGCTGGCACATCTAGTGACACGCTGAGTGTCGGGGCCGGCAGTGAGGACCTCAGGTGGCACCGGCTGGGTCTCAGATTCCGTCCCACCGCGCAGACGAACTGCAGGACTGCTGAGATTCCAGCTGAACCCCGCCTGCCCTTTGCAGGCTGATCCGCGGGACAGAAGCGCGTGTTGCCACAGATCATCAGTCCGTGGTGCAAAGCCCTTCCTTTCGGTGGGTGGTGCAAGGCTGGGATGGGGGGAACTCAGCGTCTGGCAAACGGCAGCCTACGGACCGGCGCTGGAGCTGGCAGGAGGGTTGGACAGCCCACGTTCATCGCTGTGTTGTTTGCATCGTTCTGCTGTGATTTCTAAGCTACTGCTGTCACGATAATCCCGGGTGAGCAGGCGACTCACAGGCGGGGCTGCAG